ATATTCATGAGCAAGAGAATATTTTAAGATGTATATTGCAAAAGGAGAACACCAAGCCACAGGAGAAAAGTTCAGGAGAGGTGGGGGTTCTATGCCAAGAGCAAGCACTGCCCCTTGCCTATAGGGAGACAGAACTGAGGCATCTCTGCAGTTGTAGGTACCTCCATCAGGGGTTTCCTGCCTCAGTGGCTTCAGGGACATTCCAGGGGCCAAACAGGACAAGCGACTTTAGTATGCAGTACTTTGTGCACAGAGAAGAATTTTCTTGGCTATCTGAGAAACAGGACTGAACTGTGAACCTCTACATACAGGCAACTCCAGAAGGGTCTGATCTCCTGCCACACCAGAGACAAAGCAATATACCAAGCCTCAGGAGAAAAGATCAGGAGAGGGGGCACTTTGTGTTGAGAGGGACACTCTCCATTGACTGTTTAGAGATAGGACTGACTGTGGCTTCCCTGGGATTGTAGGTACTTCCGTCAGGGAGTCCTTGTCTCTGTGGCTGCAGGTCCATACAAGGACAAGAGATTTTTAGTACACAGAACTTCAGGCAGGGGGGCAATGGATTTTTGTAGCTTTCTGGGAGAGAAAAGGACGGCTGACTTGAGACCGTCATCAGAGAAGCTGATTGAGCTATGGACCCTGGTATCTAATCTCCTGCCACTCCACAAAGGAAGACATTAAGCTCCAAGAGAAAAGGCGCATAATAAACTGCTTGAGTAAAGCACCTGGTTTCAAACAACCAGCTACTTCAAATATAAAAGAGGCCTATAGAGTCAGGGGACTACTTCAAAGCAAGATCCCTGCAGGGCTGCAGTGCAGAACAAAGAGAACCTATACTCAAACATGAAAAGCTAGAAGAAATGGACAAATACCTAGAAATGCACAATCTACCTAAACTGACACAAACTGAAATTGAACATCTGGACAGACGCATTACAAAAGAAGAAATTGAAAAGGTAATAAAATGATTTCCAACCATAAAAAGCCCTGGACCAGATGGTTTAACAAGTGAATTTTATCAAACATTCAGAGAAGAACTGTCACCAATTCTACATAAACTATTTCAGAAAATAGAAGATGAAATTCTCCTAGACTCATTCTATGAAGTAAACTTTTCTTGATACCAAAGCCAGGAAAGGACACCACCAAAATGAAAACTATAGATCAATATCTCTTACGAAGATAGATGTAAAAACCTGAATAAAACACTGGAAATTGAATCCAATGATACATCATTTTTTATTTCTTTTGGTACCCAGTCATGTTCAAGCAAGGTGCTGTTCAGCTTCCAAATGTATGTTTTTTTCTCCTTTATCTTCTTGCTATTAATTTCTAATTTTGTAGCATTTTTATCTGAAAAGAAGCTTTGTATTATTTCTATTTTTTTTAACGTGGGTTTTTTTTTTTTTTTTTTTGCCTTGTGACCTAGAATGTGATGTATTCTGGAGAATGTTCCATGCACATTGGAGAAGAAAGTATATTGTGCTTCTTGGGAGTGCATTTGCCTATAAATATCTATGTGGTCAAGTTGGTTTATTTTGTGGTTTAATTCTTCAGTATCTATTGAGTTTCTTTCTGGTAGCTCTGTCTTTACTTGAGAGCGGTGTATTGAAGTCCTAGAGTGGTGTGGTCTATTTACTTTTTCAGTTTTGTTAATGTTGGTTTTATGTGTTTTTCAGGTCTTTCATTTGGTGCATGGATGTTTATCATTATTATATCTTCTTATCCTAATTACCCTTTCAGCATTATGTAGTGACTTTCCTTATCCTTTGTGATGGTTTTTACAGTAACATTTATTTTATCAGAGATTAATATCGCTACTCCTGCTTTTTTCTGGTTGTCATTTGCTTGGTATATTTTCCCCACCCTTCTTTTTGGTGTTACTGCTAGTTTCTTTCTTCCATGCTCCTTTCCGTGGTACCTCTGTAAGAAGGATATCTCTGAGTCTTTCCAGCAATGCTGGTCTTGTTTTTACAAACTCCCTTAGGTTCTGTTTTTCTGGGAATACCTTGATGTCTCCTTCATATTTGATGGATAATTTTGCTGGTTACAGTATTCTTGGTTGACAGTTGTGTCCTTTGAGTGTTTGGTATACGTCCTTCCACTCTCTTTTTGCTTGCATGGTTTCTGCTGAGAAGTCAGCACTTAATCTTATCTGTTCTGCCTTATAGGTTGGTTACTCTTTGTTTCTCCCTTGCTGCTTTTAGGATTCTCTCCTTATCTTTGGTTCTGACAAATTTAAATATGATACATCTTGGTGTTTTTCTTTTGGGATCTATTCCATATGGTGTTTGAATATATATTCTCTCATTCTTAATTATGCCTGGGAAGTTTTCCTCTAGTAATTGTCCACGACTTTATAAGTGCTTTGCTTTCTTCTTCCTTTTATGGAATTCCAATGACAATCATGTTATTTCTCTTTATGGTGTCCCACATTATTCTTAGGTTTTCTTCTTTTTCCTTCCTTTTTGAGTCTGCTTTTTCCCCTCTAGCTGATCAGTGGTGACAATGCTGTCTTCTGTTTCACTTGTTCTGTATTCCATCTCTTCAACTCTGCTCATGTGTCCCTCCAACATATTGACAGCATCTGAAACATTGGGCCTCGTATTTTGGATCATGGTTTCTTGTTTTTCCGGTGTGTCTAATGCCTTGTTTGTTTTCTCTACATTGTTCTGGATTGGTGTTGTTTTTTGTTGTTGTTGTGTTTTGGTTTTGTTTGTTTGTTTGTTTTGTTTGGTGTTTTTTGTGGGTTTTTTTTAACTCCTTCTGGGTTTTGCTTGTTGTTGTTGTTTTGTTGTTGTTATGTGCCATCGAGTCACTTGCGACTCATAGCGACCCTATGTACAACAGCCCTAAACTCCGCTCTGTCCTGTGCCAATCGCACTGTCTCTGACACTCCCATCCCAATTATCCCAGTCACTAAATCAATCCACCTCATAGAGGGCCTTCCTCTCCTGCGCTGTCCCTCCACCCTCCAAGCATGATGTCCTTCTCCAAGGACCTGTCTCTCTTCACTACATGTCCAAAGTATGTTAGACGGAGCCTCAGAATGTATTTTGCTTGTAGTGTCCTGTAATTCTTCAAGTGTTTCTTTTTTCCATTGAAAATATTTAATCATTGTTCTTTTAAATTCTGTGTCAGAATGTTCCATCAGACTTTCTGGCTTCAGGAAATCCATTGATACTTTGTCACCCCTTGAGGATGACAACTTGCTTTGCACTGTGTAGTGTGTGGGATAGCATGCTTTCTTCAAGACATTGATATGTTATTGATCTGAAGACAATGCTCTAGAGATCAGTTGGGTAGCTACCCCACTTGTGTTTCTCTGAACTTCTGACTCCAAGGAAATATCAGTTTAGAGCCTGTGAGAGCAGCCTCTTGTAGGTAAGTCAGGTCCAGGTGTTCCAGATTAAAGGCAAATTGATTGACCAGATATGTAGGCACAGGTGTGAAACCAAATGGGGTGGGGTAGGTACCAGAGTTGGGTAATTACAAAGGCAGGTCAACCACTTGGGGGATCTCACTCAGACCTCAGCTGTCAAGGTATGCTCACAATTGGGGTCTCTACTCAAATTCCAGCGGCTCATCTGCCAACCAATGGTTTTCACTCACTGGTCCCTGCCCAATGGCACTTCCAGGTGCCCTCACGCAGCAGCCCCTGCCCAAGCAGTGTCCTGGGTCCAACAGGACCTGAGAGGTCAAAGTAAATTTCCCATTAACTCACTCACCTCTGGCTGGTCTGAGGTGTCCACCAAAGTTCAGACAAATTTCCACTGGCCCACTTGTTCTGGCCCAAGAAATCTCAGCCAAATTCCCGCTGTGGGCTCACCCTTGAGTCCTCTCCCAGTCAATTGGTTGTGCCCAAGAAAATCCAGTCAGGATCCTACTGGCCTTTCTCCTGTCAGATCAGTCCCACAGCAGCTCAGCTGGTGGCTTCAGGCAATGGCTAGATCCACAGCATGGCTTTGTGTTCCTGTAGCTCCAAGACAAATTATTCCAACCAAAGTTCTGATTCAAAATCCCACTGTCCACAGCTTGCCGTGCTGGTGGGTCTCTGTGTGGCATGAAGGAGTGGTCTGTGGCTGCCTCCAGGGGGCAGGGCCATTGCGCCACTGCTGCTTGGGGCAGAATTGTGGCAGCGGTGGGGGCTTGGGGGTGCAGGACTGTGGCAGGGGTGGGGGCGTATGGCTGTGGCAGAGCCTTTGGGAGATGGGACACGAGGACACAGGGCTTGGGCTCTCCTGGGGGCTCGGGTCTGGTGGTCTGTTCACGGATGTTAAGCTGCCAAGTCATCAGTCCTCAGCACATCAGACTGCCTGAGTTGCACTCCACCAAAGTCTCTCTGCTTTCCATCTGCTTTGTCAAATCTTTTCAATCTGTATGAGGAATAGATTATCTAGGAGGCTGTGCTCTATGAGGAGAAGTATGGCATCAGGATTGGAGGCAAACTAATCAACAATCTGCATTATGCAGATGAAACAACCATGCTTGCTGAAACTGAGGAGGAACTGAAGTGTTTGCTGCAGAAGGTCAAGGACTGCAGCCTTCAATATGAATTAAAGCTCAACATCAAGAAAACAAAGATTCACACCACTGGGATGATTGGCAGCATCACAATAGATGGTAAAGGGATTGTGATTGTTGACAGCTTCAGTTTACTTGGCTCTACAGTCAACACTCTTGGTTCTAGCAGCCAGGAAATTAAAAGATGAATTGCATTGGGAAAGTCTGCAGTCAGAGACCTCTCTAAAGTACTGAAGATCAATTATGTCAGTCTGGAGACTAAGGTGCTCCTGATACAGGCTATGGTCTTTGCAATTGCTTGCTATGCATCAGAGAGCTGGACAATGACTACGGATGATAAAAGAAGCGTTGATGCCTTTGAGCTTTGGTGCTGGAGAAGAGTATTGAATATATCATGGACTGCTAGGAGAATAAACAAGTTCATCCTGGAGAGGGTGAAGCCAGGCTGCTCCTTGGAGGCAAGTGTTCTGAAGCTTCTGACATACTTTGAGCATGTTGCAAGGCAGGATCAGTTCTTGGAGAGGGACGTCATACTTGGGACAGTGGAGGAACAGTACAGGAGAAAAAGACCCTCGGTGAGATGGATTGATTCAGTCCCTGAGATAATGGGAATAGATATGTCGGAGACAAGGCAAGGGATAGAGCAGGGTTTAGGCCTGTTGTACATAAGGTTGCTATGAGTCACAGATGACTAGATGTCACTTAACAACAACCTTTGAGCTAACATCACAACTCCTTGCCATTAAACCACCGGAGCTCCTTTGTTCACCTTATAAGCACAACTAGTATATGAGTGAAAGTTGAGTCACAGGAGTGAAATTAGTTCCAGATCTTGCCCTTCGTTTGAATGTTTTGCTGTTCAATTTTCTTGCTATTTCTGTCTCAGATTTTAAAGGGTTTTGGGGAGTTCTATCTAGCCTATTTTCATTATGGATGTTAAAAAATGGTCAAAGTCCAGGTTCTGGCATGAAGAACAGATAAACTCATGTAGAGGGATGAGGATGGTTACTAGAATGGAACAAACTCATTCACTATTGGTCATTTCCTTTCATATTTGTTCCATTAGCCAATATATATGCTCCATTTTAGATATCTAAACTTCCACTAAGGAAAAACAACATTATGAGAATGAGACCATTTTCTTGATCATAATCTAACACCCAGATTGTTTATAGAATGAATGAGAAGCTTTGATATGTAAAGGGAGCCACTCCCATTATATCTACTATCACCTGTAACAATTTGCAAACCATTTAAACAAAATGGATTCTTTTAAGCTTAAGAACAATTTAGCTCTACTCCTGTATTCTCTTTTTATAGGGTACATATTTGACAATATATTTACTTTGTGTTGATCACTTTCATTTTAAGAAATACTGTTACTTAATAGCTATCTCTTCTCCTCTTTCTATCATTATTATACAGTCTAAATTGTGTGCTACTGCTTTAGACATAATAATTTATAGTACTGCTTTAGCTCAGTTTTCTTAAAACATACTTTTTCACATTCTTTCTCTATTTTAAGTTCTACACTTTTAAACATGGTTCATTATGACTATGTAAATTCTACCAAATAGTTTGTACTTAGGATCCAACAAAGAGGGGAAAAAACACTAAAATCCTATTAATAAATCAAATGAAAATTTTTGAATGTATTATAGTTTAAAATGAATGATATTTATTGAATTTTATTTTCTCTATTTTCTGAGCTTTTTTTAATTAAATGATAAGAAAATATCTTCTTGCAATGAATGCATAATTGGCTAAATGTTTGCATTATTTAATTTTTTTGTTGTGTTAGTTACCTTTGTGATAATTCCTAGTCATAGAAATCCTACATATAGCAGAATGAAACACTCCCTGGTCCTGTGCAATCCTCATAGCCAATGCTATATTTCAACTTATTGTAACTATTGGATCAATTCATCTTGAGGACCTTTCTATTTTTCTCTGACTCTCAACTTTACCAATCATGATTTCCTTCCCCTTCTGGAAATCTTTTACAGGATATAGGAGATCACTCAAATCAGAAATTAAGCATACCCTCAATTTTTCACTTCATAGAGAATGATTAGCTAAAAAAATATTTGAACTTGGCCATTGGGACAGTGAAAGAGGCAGAATGGTTACAGTTTCAAGTAAGAGTATCACTGTGTAGATCGCATTATATCTGATAAATAGTGAAAGCACCTAATGCACTGTAAACTCCATTCACATTTTAACTAGTTGACAACAGGAAAACAAGTTGAGTTATAAGGGTGAAGGTGAGTCACATGGAGATAAGTTGATGAGTTAAGATTGTTAGTAGGTATTAAAGCCAAGACAATATGCTAAAGGACTTTCAAGAAGACAGTGAAATCCTTTCCTGAAGAAAATTGGGTCTACAAACAGAATTGCTGGAGTGAAAACTTTGGAAAGGATCCAAGGAAAATATCTAGTCAGAAGAAAAAAAGCAGAAAAGGATAATGAAGCATTAATGAGGTAGACACCTATCTACCAGAATCTCTTGTTTGGCTGTGAGGAAAGGTAAATTGCTATAATATTCATCTGAAGAGGCTCAGTTGTCTTCTGCATTAGGTTCTAGCAGAAGAATGGACCTGCATGTTATGAATTCATTTCCCTCAATGGGGAGAATGATTATAGAAACAGAGATTATTTATTCCAGGATTTTTATTCTCAGAAATGATTCATCACTACGTATTGTGAGAGATTGCAACTTTAAAAGTAATTTGATAGGATTAGCGCTCTCTTTATAGGTGCAACCTAGGGAGATGTGCTGCTAACCCAAAGAGGCACTTCTGTGGTGGCTTAAGCCACAGGAGAAAGATGGGAAGTCTTTCATGGGATTTAAGGCCTCCAAAAACCTATTAGAGGGTAAGCCAAGAGTTGATTCTGAATTAATAATGTATGGGTTTACCATTAATATAATCAGATAGCTAATTACTGAAAGTAAAATCTTTTTTTGTCATAAATAATATTTTTATGTGCCATCGAGTCAACTATGACTTGTATCAAGTCTCTAATAAGCCTGAAATTGAAAAGCATAGCCATATGCCCTTCCTTCAATTTCCCTCTATTCCAACACAACACCTCTCTACTACTACTATGTTCGTGAAACAGTCCCTATCTTAAAATAGACATTAATTAATTGTTATTAAATTATTTGAACCTAGTCAAACCTTTGTTCCTGGAATCTCGCCTTTGTTTCCTTATGTATAAAAAGTAAATTATTTCCAGAGTTGTAGTAGTAAGAAGCTATGTTGCAATCCTAGAGGCACAAAGTTTGAATCCATCAGCTGCTCCATGAAGGAGGAATGCACAGTCTATTTCCATATAATTTATTGTCTCCAAAAACCCACTGGAGAGTCAGGGATGGGTCACTTCTGACTTGATGGCACACACAACACCAATGTAGGTTGAAACGAAATATTAAAAAAGAAGATAAAATTCTTCATGTAATCAAGAATAAATAGTTGTTTTCGTCTAACAAAGTTCTTTTTCAATATGGTGAGGAATTATTCCCTCTGATTTAACTGGAATATTGTTTAAAAAATATAATACAAATTTTTGTTTAATTTTATTTCTACTTTACCTCTTTCTAAAGTGATTATTTTATGAGTATATTTTTATTCTATAATAAAAATACAAGTCACTTTATGACAGGTTAAATTTCATATGCTTTGCTACATGTACCTAGTACAATGGAGCATAAAGAAGGAACTCAACAAATATATCTTTATTTAAAATATTGCATGCCTAATTTAAAACAAAACAATCTAAACGCCTTTCATATTATTTTTATTGTAATTTATAATTGCTAGAATGATCTTAAATTTATTTTCAGAAAACATTAATCTTTTGTGCTATTTACCATAAAATTGTTGCTAATAGAACTATGAACATTATATATTGGTGATAAAAATGAAAGGTACCTTTTATGAAGATATATTAAATTTGAAAATGAAAGTTTAAAAAATGCAGATAGTAGGAGAATTTTATAAAGTTATGAACTACATAAATAAAATAAATTTACTACATAATAAATTTACTACATAAATAAAATAAATTTACCATTGTTATTATGGTGGAATGTAGAATAACCTTCAAAATTAGAGAAAGTAAAGGAGTTACTACAATATGCTGACTTGTATATTAAAACTAGTTAATTTAAGGTATATGATAGCCTTATAGTACAAATAAAATGTAGAATACAATATATAGGTAAACTAATACACATATTAATGATGAGTGATAAAAAATAGAGTGAGGTTTGTGAATAACATTAATTTTTCATAGCTCATTTCTTTGAGCTTTTGTTAAAGATAGGATTCTTGTTAGAGAGCCAAATGATCTGACTCAGTGAGCTAAGTTGTTTCACTCTCTCACATTTTGGGAATATACTCAAATAATCTTCAATTTGGTGGTTCAGTGACACCATTACACTTGAATTTTTTTTTAAAAAAAGAAAATAGATTGTACTAAAGAGCATTGAAACAAAAATAATTTTTTTATATTTTTATTGGTTTTCATAAAATATCTCATTCACATTGTGGTTTATTTATTTATATATATTGTGTTCCATAAAACCCCTCATTTACATTGTTTAATGCAGTCATTCATATACATTATAACTCATATAATTAATTGCCATTGATCTATGACTATAATGATACCATCTTATTGAGTCTTCATTGAAATCTTTCACGTTCTTTCCTCCCAGTCCACCCAACAAACTTTGTTATTGTAGTGATTTCCACATTTCCCTTTTTCTTCCTTTTCCATTTCTCCTTCCTTCTTTTCAACATTTATAGTCTTTTATACAAGGCCTATACTCTACTGAAATGAATACATATACTTTGGAAAGATATGTACATTCTCAACTATTAACTATTTATTATAGTAAATACTATGAGTCGCAAGCCACTTGACAACACATAACAACAACAACAAATACATATACTAATTTCACAAGGAAAACTTTTGAAACAATTGGATATAGTGAAAAAATTTAAAAATCCTGCCCTTTTGAGTTTCAACTTTTCAGCTCATTGAAATGTGGAGACATTACCTTTCACATTTTAGAGTTTTTGCTATCGTGTCAGGAAAACCATGATTATTAGAATTCATGACCACCTAAAAGCCAATTCAGAGCTCACTGTCCTCAAGGCAAAATGTAATGTTTGCTGACTGTAGTTAACTAATGGTGCACCTCAAGGATTTAACTGTATTTTTCCATCTTTAAATTTTATTACTGTATTTTTCTTCAGGGTAAAAAAAAATTATGGGTCAATTTTCACTGAAGTGGGCTGGATTTATGCATTCACCTCTCATCAATGTCAAAAGGAATTGTGCACATCATTCCCTGGACAAAAGGATGAAAATTTGTCTCTGGACACTAGGGATATCACCTGTACACACAAGATAAGTGAAAGCTGAAGAGATATACACCTAATAATTCATTAAAGCCAACATATTTTATCAATTTGAAAATGTA